AAAGTTTTTTATGTATTTAGAGAGTATATATGATTTCGACCTTTCTTTTAGGCCATTTGAAGTTGATTTTTCGGTTAACGTAACCCCCCCTCCCCTCCTGGCTACCCCCCGGCGATCCTCAAAAACGAACAAGCCAATCATATTGGTCCCAGAATTCCGGAGAAAAAAAAGATTATAAATTTATATACTCGTGAAAGTATTCTTTTGTCTTTCAGTTAGGTCATCGATCATTCCAATCGTATCCAACCTTTAAAATATCAAATATCTGATACTTTCAGTATTCATAGTACGTATTTGTAATACAAATACTATGAATCCTAAAAGCATCAGATATTTGTTAGTGTAATAATCTGTTACCTCAAAAATTAAAGTAGATAGTCTTAAAGTGTGACAGTGCCAATTATTACTTAAATATTAAATATTTATACTTTTTAATTGCTTAATTTTTAATTGATAACAATAAGGCAAGATCTTTGTTATTTGTATGAGTAATATAGCCTTAATTATAATGTTTGCTATTAATATAGATTCCTTCCATATTACTTGCGCAAATAAGTATTTGTCTTCTACCAAAAATATTTTATTCTGTCAAGCAATATAAATAACATTCTTTTTTAGATTTAGATTGTTTTAATAAAAACCCAATTATTGACTAAGCAATCTATCTATGCTTCTTTTTTTGTTTGTAACAGTTTATCGAAATAGTCATAAGTCATCCAAAGTTGTTTTTGATACATTGTTTGAAATCAAAAGCAATAAGAAATTTGGAGATTTACTTCAATTAGCTGATAATGAGTTTATATTTGGTGAAATAGTACGTGTAGAAGTACGATGTGTAGGAAGTACTCAATTTTACTTTTATGCATCTGGAGTAGAGAGTAGTTTGCAAGCATGTGAACCAAATATGAGTAATATTTCTCATATACGATTTTTTATTGATGATCAACTCAATAATCAAGATAATAATTCAACAGCTTCTGTTGAGACTTTTCCGAATGTTTTTGATATTATTATGAACAGTTCAAAACAAAAAAAGCTTTCTGTACCAAAACCAAATACTACCAAACGGAATCAGTTATTTAATGAAATTTTAAAAACATTAAATGAAATAAATTGTGGATGGTTTGATGGTTGTGAGCTTACAATAGGTTTAAAATTTTTAGAAAACCTTACAGCTTTAATTTGGTATCTTGATGCACATCATTCAAAATTTGAAGTTCGAGGTTTAGCATTTCCAAATTTTATTAAAAACCTGCCATCTTATATTAATGGTCAATTTTATAAAAAAGATTCACATCATAAAAAAAGTATGATAGAGTGTTATAAACTAGAAATTCATATTCTATTAGTTCAAAAATGTTTAGAACAACCTTGAGCTAGTAATCAAAATTGGCGGTCATTTATACTTCAAGTATTTCATTTAACAAATATTGCATAAAAATATATTGAATATCTTAAAAATGTTAACCAAAGTGTAACAGTAACTCGAAATGCAATGCAATCAGTACGTAATTCTGCTGACAATAGTAAAATTGAATTAATATCATATTGTCAATCAGAGGAAGTTAGATTTGAATATCAAGAATTAGCTCAAAGAATTAAAAATTCAAATATTTATAAAGTAATTCCGATTAATAAATACTTACCTTCTAACAAATATAGAAAATATCAATTTTTTACAAATTTATTATTAGATAGTCCAATTATGTTATATCGCTATTATCATAGAAATTATCTTGGAACATTAAATTTTGCATGGCATCTATCAATAAATATAAATGATAGATCTGATAATCAACAAGCATATGCAATAATTAAAGTTCAAGATAATATTCCACAATATTTTACTAGAGGAATGAAACGTAATATATTTGTAAAGATTAGTTAAATTTAGTTAATAAATATTATTAATTATTTATTTAACATAATTTAGTTTTTTTTTAGTATTCACTAGTAAGCAAAATTACACCACGTATTATAGCATTATTATAACATGATTTGACAGGTGATGCAAGTTCTTCTGAAAATATACCTATTCAAGAAATGGAAATTAGACTTAAAACAATGTTAGAAATTAGTAATCCAAATATTGTAGTTGATTTAAGAGTTAATAATGGATTTAAAGGCAATAAATTTGATGTTTTTTGGAATGAACTTAAATTATATTTTGAAGAGATAATATTTACAATAAATTGTTTATATAATTTTATTTGAATAATTTAATCATTTTTTTATTTAGAATAGATGATAAGGAAAAATTCTTTATATGCTATTTTTTATTTCAGTTCGTGATCTTAAAGAGCAAATTATAGCAAGAATTAAGAAAAAAACTCCAAATATAGAATCATTTAATCAGTTAACATTTCCTTCAGAAAGGTGGATTGAATATCAGTTTTTTCCAAAAAATCCTTGGGTATGAGTTAGTACAGAATATGTTGGTCAATTTAATATTAAATATAAAGTACAAACATGTTTATTACGAAAATCACATCCAGATTTTCATTACTGCCAAGCAATTTTTAAATATTTACGTAATTTTTTAGTTAAATATTAAGAATATGTAGCATTTATTTTTGCAGATAATAAGTATAAAATTCCTATTGGTGAAGGAAGTCCTACTTCTACAAGTGTTCGTAATCGTCGAACTGCTACTCAACCAGATATATTGCTTGTAGCTAGTGATCATGATTTTACAAAACTTTCATTAACACTATCTATAACAATGATTGTAACAATACCAGATGATTCATTAGAATCTTTTTATAATGGTTAAGTATATGTAACATATAAAGATACTATATTTCAACCAAGTTCAGCTTTACGACATGTTACTGAATTTTATAATATACTTAATAACTTTTATAATAAAAATTTATCTGAAATTTTGCTTTTATATACTGATGGAGGACCAGATAATCAATGTTCATTTGGATCAGTACAAATTTTACTTATTTGTCTTTTTTTACATTGTAATTTTGATTTATTAATAGCTGCACAAACTGCATTATACCATAGTTGGGCAAATCCTGTTGAAAGAATTATGTCAATTTTAAATTTAGCTTTACAAAATGTTTCATTAGAATGTAAAAAAATGAATGATAATTTAGAAAAAGAATTTTTACAACTTAAAACTTTAGAAAGGATTCGTACTAATGCAAGTAATAATCAAAATTTAAAAAAAGAGTTACAATACTAATTAACAAATATTCAAAAGCTTTTAAATGAATGAATTATATATTTAAAATTGCATGATAGTTATTTTAAAATAGGAAAACCTGCTACTGAAATTGAAATTGATGAATTTTTTGATGTAAGTAATATTTTTAGTTTTAATTTTTTTTAAATAATAAATTAATTTAATATATTTAATAGATTATATCAATAATTAATCCTTTACTTCAAAAAAATATGACTACTGCTAATAGTCTTAAAAAAAAAGAAATTTATCAAGAATTTTTGCGATCACATTGTCAAAATTGATTATATACTTTTCAAATTAAAAAATGTGAAAACTTAACTTTTTTTTGTAAATCAATTCATATGCCATATAATGAGTTTAAAACATTAGTATTTCTTTCCGATCCAGAAATATCATCAGGTAATATTATAATATTTTTTAAATTAATATTTAATACTAAACAAAAAGTATAATAATAATATTTTTATAGATGATCAGCATTATAAAGAATTTTTAGAATTATATGAACAAAAAACAAATAAGCAATTTCATCCATCATATAGCAAAGTGTTATCAAATAAACAAAATAACGATTCAAATACTGGACTTTTTGTTAATAATTTAATTCGTATATTAGTAGAATGTGATTTTTGTGGAAAATATCGATGCATATATTCTCAAACTTTATTAAATGATCAAGAAATAGATTTACTTACAACTTACTTAGAAAATATTTCATATAGTTGTGGCTCACCTATTTTTTCTGAAGAACATATATTAGCAAATCATATATATATACGTTATAATTTGAATTGTGATTTGCCGATTGAATGAAATTATTATTCATGTAGACTTAAAGATGTTGACTTGTGTTATTGGTACGGTGCAGAAGATGGATTGCTTAAAACTCCTATAGAATTAAAAGATAACTTCAAAAATATTTACCCATTATGTAATTCTTGTCAAGAAAATGGTTATAAATGGTCAACTCGTGTGTCAAAAATATATGATAACAAAAGCTTATAAAAATCTTTATATAAATTTAAGATAACAAAAAGCTTTATAAATAAGATAAAAATCTTTATATGAATTTAAATATATCATTTGTGATAAATTTAATAGGCTAATTAAAATTTTAATTATCGATTATTTTTTTAACTAGCATAGCAAATTTAAAAATAATTTTATCAATTATTTTTTAATATAGCAACTTCAAAAATAACTTTCTAATTTTATTATTAGTATTGTTATTTTATATTTTTATGATTATAAATTGGCAAATCTAAGTTGGTAAATTGGCAAAAAACAAATAAGCTTATAAGTTTTATAATAAATAATTATATAGAATTGTTTTATTAATTTGATTATTAACTAAACAATATATCCTAGAACTTCATATATATAATAATTACACATGATTAATAATTTAATTATATATTTTATATTCTGTTTAATTTTCTTGTTTGTTTAATTTATCCCTCTCCCACCTATTGAATTAGCTTAAAAGTTGATGTTAACCGAAGAATCAACTTCAAATGGCCTTAGTTATTTTAACCTTTTTCAGCGTTCATGAATCTGGTTAGAAGTGAGTTTTAATTAATTCGATGTCTTCATATAATCTGTTGATGTAAATGTTAAGTTGAGATTTTAAGTATCTATTTGAAATTTTAAGTATCGTATTCGTTCGTGGTCGTATCGTTGATGTCTTCGTTCATTCTAATCAAAAATGTAAAATCGAACAGTGTAAGTATATATAAAAGGTCGGAACTATCATAACTAGAGTTACCCATTTACCCTAAAGGAGTACTATTTATATGAACATATGGGTGAAACCAAAAGAAAGCCAGGAATTCTAAAAATAGATTTTATCCACAGAGAAGTTGCAGGTTTCTAATCGATTCGATGATGATTAAAAAATAGTATCATTATCGAATTGATTAAACCTCTGAAACTTCGCTATGGATAGAAATCTATTTTTAGAATCCCTGGTTTTCTCTTGGTGTCACCCATATAAAATATTTGAACCAATTAATTAAATGTGATGTTGAAGGACTTTATATAAATATTTTGAAACAGCAAATAGAAGAGACTGAAAGTCTTAAGAAGAGACTAAAAAAGAATGAAATTATTGTCGAAGTAGTCTGACAGATGATGCATGAACTTCAACATGAGGTAAAGAACTGCCAGCAAAAAGATAAATTGAATCCTTCGTAATATGGTCAAACATCTTCGCAAAAGAGTTTGTGATGTCCGTCAAGAAAGACATACAGTTTGTAATCATATTATAGCAAATAAACAAGAACAAATACGAAATCTGAATGAAATATTAAAAGTCATAAACCTTGCAGTCAAATGATGCATGAATTAGAATAGAGATTTTACCTAGAGTTGTTAGATGAAACCATTTTTGCGTGATGATGAAAGACGAAACTAAAGCCAGTAGAAGACTAAAGACGAAACCTTTGGTGTAATGACGAAACCTCTGCGAAAGACTGCAAAAGGCAAAACTTAATAATGTGCGTAAAAGGAATAACCAAATTAAAGCAAAAGCAAGTGCTTGAATGCTGCACACATAATTTGTTAAGGTGTATAACATAGATCAAATTACAAAACATAGTGCAGTAATAAATTTTTTTTATTGGGATCGGCATTCTATATTAAAATATTATAAAAAAAATCAATTTTACTTCGCCTTTAAATTCTCCCACAATATTTAACATTTTTAAATTCTAGAAAAGCAAGATGTTTAATGAAAAGTGTCTTTATAAAGTAATAACGTTAAAATTTTATCTTACCAATTAAAATATGTCATAGCTTACCTGAGTGTCTGTTACGTATTAATTTACAAATATAATGTGGGCCACATGCAGGCCGCATAGTAAATTGTTGGACAAGTTTTTATATCTTTAATAACTTTTAAACCAACAAAAATGTACAAATAAAATTATACTTGCCGAAGCTCTCTTAACGTGCTTTTTAAATTTTATAAGAAAACTCAGCCAACGAATTACTATTTAGCCGCAGTAAAGGGTATAGTTCAGGTCAATATATTTAATTCTGGTAGCAATTCTTGAATGTGTGCCAGGTTAGTGGCGCAGATTTCCTGAACTACGAATCAGATTTCAAGATCAGGCGTAATGTAACACGATCCTGTGATCAGGAACATTCAAATGGGATTTACTTATTGCGTGAACTTATTTGTGCGAGTGATACAAGCCCAAAAAGTGAAGTTAGCCAATCGGAGAGCGTAAATTTTGATTATCCCGGATCAGCCCGACATGAAATCCGAACCCGTGCGAAAAAAGAAAAAAGTCAAAAAAGAGAAAATACTCGAAAACTAATGTTTTAATCGACCTTAATACACTAATTAAAAATGTCGGAAATAAAATTTTACGTATAATATGCAATATTCTATTACTATAACTCTGAACTCTAACACCTTAACCCTAAATTTCAATTGACACGTACTTAGTTTATTTTTGTATCGAATTTCCTTTTTTGGGTTTGTATCACTCACAAAAATAAGTAAGGATTTACTTATTTTTGCAAGTGATACAAACCCAAAAAAGGAAATTCAATACAAAAATAAACTAAGTATATGTCAATTAAAATTTAGGGTTAAGATGTTAGAGTTCAGAGTTATAGTAATAAAATATTGCATATTATATGTAAAATTTTATTTCTGACATTTTTAATTAGTGTATTAAGGTCAATTAATTTTGAGTTTTTGACAATCCTTTACACCAACTTTTTTCAAAATTCTGATCTATGAAAACTATATAGTTATTATATTTAAATATAACAAAACTCTACTTTAGAATAACTAGGAAGGTTATTCACTGCATGTTTGATTATAACTAAAAAGAGTTGAAAAAGATTCGAACTCTTGTAAACAAAGTCTCTTGATAAAACTCAAGTACTACCAAGTAAAGAAGTAGTAGATAAGTTCTGAAGCTTTGTCAAATACTATAAAGGTTTAGACTTAAATAGTTACTTGGTTTAATATAATATTTTATATAATATAACTCTTACAATATCTTTTTAAGTTGGTTTTCCTTTCTATTCTCACTACTGGATTTTTTTTTCGAAATTTTTACCAAAAAGTAGGAAATCTGATGTACCCTCTTCAAAGGATCGACATTGTTTATTTTTTCAAATTAGGAATATTAGTCATAAGAAAACTATAAGATGAGTATCGAACCTATGATAGATAATATATATCAAACTCAAGAAAAAAATAAAAACTTCGATCATTTTCCCTATGTGATAAATGAAATATATTATAATACAGAGATAAAGCAAATGTAAGGTATTCTTTATTTAGTATTATATAGAATTTTTAAGACCTAGTATAGGCAAAAATAGTACTTTTATGTTTTTTGTTTTTTTTTTATTCTTCTTTTTTTATCTTTTTCTTTTGGTTTACATTTAGGTTTTGTAGTTAGTCCCTCTTTTTTTTACTTTCTTTTAATTTTTCTTTTTTATATCCTGTTGTTCTTTAGGCAAGGATTATAAAATCCTCTTGCTTGATAATTAAAGGATAGGAAAAAACAAATTGAAGATGAAGCTAGAAAGACAATTTTGAAACTTGTTATAAAAGGAGAAAGATCCTTTCATTATGGACTTTAAGTAATCAGACAAGTGGTTTACTTCTGCTTGAAGTAATGTGACAGATTGACTTAGGTGTCATTAGAGTGGTTGGATGATGCTAGACTTAGTTGTTAGATAGTTTTATATAATTGTAGCAATTGCAAAAATCTTAATAAAGTACTAGTATAACTGTCTATATTAAAAAAAAAAAAAAAAAATGTATTAAGGTCGATTAAAACATTAGTTTTCAAGTATTTTCACTTTTTTGACTTTTTTCTTTTTTTGCATGTGTTCAGATTTCATGTTAGGCTGATTTGAGATAATCAAAATTTATGCTCTCTGATTGACTAACTTCTCTTTTTGGGTTTATATCACTTGCACAAATAAGTGCATGTATTCAAATACATATCCCAAATCTGTGACAGGTTATGCTGATAATGTCAATTCACCTGTCTGATTCTTACTCTAGTATTAGTCTTAAAACTATATCCTAATCAATTTATTTAATTAATTAATTATTAATAAACTTCAATTGTGTAATTATTACAACATATTCAAATAAAAAGAATATATAATATATGATCTATATATACTTCTTTTTGCTTCTTTCATTCTTTTATCTAAGCAGTTTTTTTTTTATCTGCTATATTAAAAAAAAGCCAGTAATTTCTATAATAATAAACACTGATATACAAAAAATCGATTAATTAAAATTTAGTTAATATGAAAAGAAATACTATAAATAACTTACAGGTTAAAACAATTTCTAATTTTTTGTTAGATATATAATTTAATTATTATTATTACAATATTTATACATATACAAATTACAGAATTAGTATTTATTAAAAGATTACCATATTATCTTATTAATTTTTAGATATTTTCTTAATATATATTGCCAAAGGTTCTGAAACTAATATTTTCATCAAATTATTTTTATTTTATTTAAAGTTTTAATAAAATACCAACATACCAAACATCAAAAAATTTTGAAATTCTGAATTTTGAATTAGATATATTTGTAAATATTAATATGAAAAAAATAAATTATAGAATTTTAAATTTTTACAAAAATAATAATATTACAAATGTAGGATTATAAAATAAAAAGAAGTTTTGTTTTTTTTATAAAAAATATCATTGTATTTATAATCACAAAATAAATAAAAAGTAGAGAAATATTAAAATAAAATATTTTCAGTCATCTCATATATAAGATATTAATTGTATTGCAACAATCTATATATAATTGAAATATCAGCAACTTTACTTATTCATTTATTAAAAATTAATCTAATATATATATATAATTATATTGTTGACTTAGTAGAAACATTAAGTTTTTAGTAAGTTAAAGAAAGTATTCACAAGAAGTCAATAAACTTATTTAAAGAGAGACATTTATCTTTTTAATATTATATGCATATAAGGATAAGCTGTATCTTAGCACTAAAGATTAACAAAAATTATTGAAAATTCTTATAGACTATATATAATTCTGATTATAATTATATGTATAATTTGTTTCAATAATATAAAAATGAGATACTTGAAAGTCACAATAGTACATCAATGTTCAAGTATTTAGATATCATTATAAAAAATTATAATAAATCAGGATGCAGAAAAGCTATATTATAGATAATAAAAAAATTTTTCTTTTAAAATTTTTTTTTTTATTTATTTATTAATTTTTTCTTTTTTAATTTTATTTATTAATTTATTATTTTAATTTAATTTAATTTAATTTGTTTTTAATTTTAAGTTTTATTAATATTTATAATTTTTATTACTAATTGCAAAAATACAACTCATATAGTGAAATAGTTTTTATTCATTATATTGTAAGAAATTTAATATATTGCATATATCAAAATATTTACTAAGCAGAAAAGCTATACTATATAGATTCATTATTATCTTTTGACTTTTTTAACATCTTGATAACACTTTTGTATACTAGTTATTCTGCTAGTGCTCTTTTTCTTAGATTTTTTTTTTTTGGTATTAAGGTGACCTCTTGGATCTTTAACTTTATTTAATGATAGTAAATATGATTCAGTGAACTATTACAGGAAGAGCATACAATTGGCTATATGTATAACTTTATTATATTACCTATTTAAAGAATTTATCTAAAGGTTCTCTACCAATTGTCATATCTAATATTCTTGCTTATATATTCTATTTTAAAGCCTTTAAACCTGTAAATCTGTTAACTTCACTGGGTCATATTTGATGCTTAGATTATTGTTTCAATCTTAAGCCTATTTTATCTTTAAGATAAACCTTTCAGAGCCTTCTATACTTATTTTTATAGCTAATCTAGATATTGTTATAGCAGAACCAACATCTGCAATTAGAACTTAACTATTAAACTGCTATACTCTTGTAGAATTTACTTAGACCCCAGCATCTACTTTATAGCATAACCTTAATACTTTAGTATACTCTGATTTTTTACTAAACTCCAATCCAGATAGCCTATATAGAACTATAACCAATCTACTGGTATATCAAATTGGCTTGATATTTTTTTCTTTTGGTTCATT